AAAAATATGACTATAAGTGTTTTATGATAACAATATATTTTATATGTATGTCTAAAATTAATGATTTTGAATATAAAAGAATAACATCTGATCGTAAGTATTTTATTATGACTTTAAAAAAAATATGTAACTTAAAGTATTTTATAGTCACGTTATATTCTTTATGTGTATCTAAAAGTAAAAAATAGTAAAAATACAAGATAAATAAAACATGTCACTATAAGTGTTTTATGATGACAGTTAAATGTTAAAAAATGAAAAAATCGAGGGAATTCAATTTTTTCCGTCTTTTACAGAATTTCAGTTTTCCCTCTTTACTAAAAATTTCAATTTTCGCTCTTTACAAAAACTTTTAGACCTAATTTCCTTTTTATCCCCATTTTTTCGAATTCCCAAATTCTCCAGTTTAAATTTTTGAGTTTTTAACTCTCAAAAATCTCAAAATTTTGGATTTCCATAAATTCTTCCTCCTCCTTTTAGGCGTTCCCTCAAAATCACCCAATAAACACATCAACCCTAAATTTTTTAACTCTCTACGGACTCATACCCTGCAACCAAGAAATCGACAACCCTCCTTTTCTTTTTTCTTTTCTTATAGGTTCGACTTGCAGTTGTATGATGGTACGATGGTTCTCTTTTGTGCTTTTGCTTCTACATCTATGTGTGCTCCTGGAATTACATGTTTGATTATCCAACTTCTCACCAAATCCCTCCTCCATCGCCTACAACCCACCCGTTGTCCCTTTTGTTCTTCGTCTTGGTGTGGATATTAGGCCAAGGTCTTCAGGTTTTGTTCCCCTAGATTTTTTGTCTTCCATAGACTTTTTTAACTTATTGACTTTTACAAAAGTCAATAAGATAATATGTCATTTTAAAAAGCACTCTTGAATATCCACTTACTGAGTACTACTAATTCTCATCCAACCTCACGATTCTCACCTAAAATTTGAGGTTTTTTCCTATTTGTTTACAAATTTCATTTTCTTGTGTTACAGAATTACAAAATTTGATTGTTTTCATTGGATCTTACGTTAATTCTTTGAGTTTTTTTTATTTTTGAGTATCCTGTTAAATACAAAATTTGATGTATTTATGTCTTTTTATACTTATATTAACCACTCATATTTAGGATAAACCAACTAACTGGTCACTTAAACTCTAAGTCCTAATGATAGATGACGTAAATCAAGGGGTTAAACTCATCTACACATAAAATTTGGTTAGTGTAGCGGAGATGGACTACATAGAGAAGATAAATTAGTTTAATTAGAGACTTGATATTTTATTGTTAAAAAATTTAGTCTTAGCATTTTTAATTTATTCTATATGAAAACTAGTGTTATACCTTGGGTGAAAATCTTGTTTTCTAATGATTTTGGTAATGTTTTGTGTAGGGATTCTATAACATCCATTTTCAGGATATTTCTTATTTCGGGATTCTATACCATAATTCGATCATGTGAAGGCCTTGGGATTGTTGGTTGATAATATTGGTTATGTGATCTACACCCTTGATTTGTGTTTTGGAGCCAAGGGTAAAATGAGAAAAGTAATGCTTCAGACTTCTTGCATGAATTAATGATTTTTGTTCGGTATGTTTTAAGTCAAAAGTAATTAGATGGGTTTGTTGGGCTCATCAATACCTTTTCGTGAATATAAAGATCGCCAAAGAAGGAGTTGAAATGAAGAAGTTATGACTATTTCAAGCTGGAATGAATTTCGGCGAAAAGTTATCGCCACGAAGTGGAGAGCAGATCTCCACAAAGTGGCAGTCACCACAGATTGGTAAGAAAGTTGCCACAACGCACCAGTAGCCATGGAGTGGAGAAACGTTGCCATGAAGTGGCAGTCTGACATGCCCAAACCCATGATATTTAGTGTTTTTAATGTATTTAAGCATAAGATTCTAACTTTTTGGCCATTTTATGAGCCTCCATCATATCTAGAATCCCTTGGGATAAACCCTAGCCTCCATCTTCAAGATTTGAGTTCCTCCACCCTCCTAACTCCTCTTTTGGATGTTTTTAATGATATTTTAATGAAGCTTAAGGATCAAGAAGGTTCTTTTGGTTGCAAGGAATGATGTTTGAAGTTTGGATCCATCAAAGGCACTACATTTATAGACTATTGTGAGTATAAAGTTCCAATCTTTCTCTTTAGTTATTTAGATTTCCTCATTAGGGTTTTTGGCACTTTTAGTCCATTTTATGAGTGATCTTGGAGTTGAGTGGATTCCAACATCTTTTGATATGTTTAGAAGGCATATTGGATCTCATGGACTAGGAAAGGTATAATCTATTGCATATCCTTTTAGGCATGTAAGTTATCTTGGTCCTTTAGGTTGTTTTGGTGTATTAAATTTTAGATCTTGAAAGCCTGTGACATTATTATGGATAAAGTTGGAAAATTTATCCATCTAAACATCATGTTGATTTAGATCTAAAGGTTGAATTCTAGATCTTGGTGGTTTGAACCATCCTAATGGATAAAGTTAGAAACTTTATCCATTAAGAAGCTATTAGGAATCCAATCTGATGTTTTTAGATTTGGTCCTTACGGATTAAGCTCTTATGAAAGAAAAGATTTTCAGACCGGAAACCACAGCATGACCAAGGAAGGCCCACGACATGGTGGCGACACTGTAGGCCTTGCGAGGCGGGCAAGTAGACTGTAGGATCGGGAGAGCGGTCTAGATACCGTAGGTCTTGCGAGGCGGGCCAGTAGAGTGTAGGATCGTGAGAGCGGTCCAGGCATATTATAGGCCTTGCGAGGCAGTCCAGATAGACTGAAGGCTCATGCTTGCATGCATTCTATTTGTATTTGTTGTGTGTCTGTGTGTGAAATTTTAGGGGAACTGCCTAAGCTTCGTGTTTACCCAGTCGTTTATAAATGTTTTTCAGGTACCATTGGTGATTGTGGGAATGCGAGGGCATGATCGTACGCATCCTCTTGCTGAACTATGTTTTGAGAAATTTTTGTTACTCTGATTCTACGGATTTGACTTGAAAAGAATACTTGACCATCATGTGCTTTTTGTGTAAATGCTTTATAAAAATGAAAAAATTTATCATGATATTTGGGATATTACAAGTTGGTATTAGAGCCTTGGTTTGAGAGAAATGTATGAACAGTTGTGTGATTCCACACTCAAATTATGGATCTGCAAAATATTTTTCAAAATTAACTTTAAAATGATCAACAAAGAGGATGCGATTTGCACAATCAGTCATAGCCCAAGGAAAATTATTCCCCAAAATACCCACACTTGTTTTATGTGTATCGGTTATATCGTAGAAATTGAAAGGTCTAGTATGCTCAAGAGTCATATTAAAGTGATATTGCTAATTAACTTGATACAATTGATTATTTATTAGAAAATGGTTTTAATAAATATTCAATAAACTCTTATAATTAAACTGGAAGTTATTTATTTCTAGGAAATAATAATTTTCATTAGCAAGTAATATTATATAATTCATATGGTATGAATAAATAAGTCATGCACAACATTTTGGACTAGACAAATTCTTTTGTCGTTTACCAAAAAGTTAAAGCTTATATTTTATAAACTTGGTTTATAAAATATAAATGTTTTTCCTTCTTCTTTTTATTATTTTATAAAAAAAAAGGAAGAGTATGACTTTTTTATTATTTAAATGAGAGAATGACTATTTGAATATTTAAATAAGAGTATGGCTTTTTGATTATTTAAATGAGAGAATGTATCTTTAAATATTTAAATAAGAGTATGGCCTTTTGATTATTTAAATGAGATAATGGTTCTTTGATTATTTAAATAAGGACATGGTCTTTTGATTAGTTTATTCAAAAATTAGGGAATTGTTTCTACTATAAATACAAGACTTGATGCTTTAACTTCGCTTGCTCATTCATACTACCAAAACCATAACCTCCTTAGAGGAGGTTACTCTCTCTCTTTTCTTCATCTTTTCTTGAAGATTACTTGTTTTTACATGCCCTCTATAAGTTCATATTGGTTATGAACTTAAATCTTAAGGGATTAAGAGTTTATGGACTAGCATATACATCAAGTTGAGTCATTGTTGGTGTTTCAAAGGTTCCACATTCTTCATCAACTTCCAAGCCTCCCAAAAGGACCCAAAGAACTACAAAGGTTGTCATTTCTACACTTCTTCTTTGGTTGGTGTTTAAATCTTTCTATAACTTGCAAGAATATCCTTGGTGGGTATAAAATTGTGATGTTATGTTCAAAATTTTAAGTCTTCCGTTGCCATATTTTTCTAGTTTATGAAACTATTTTTGAACTAAAACCCAACAAAAGTGCATGCTAAAAGATAGAATAAGGATCTGCTCAGGGTTGCATGATAGAATGCCTATTAGGAGAGATGTCTATTAGGGAAGATGCCTTTTGATGCCTGGAGAGGTCTTCTGCTCGAATTCTGGTTGCTTTTTTCTTTGTAGGATTCATATTGTTGTTAGTTAACTATTAAATAAAGAAGTTATACTACATGCTGCAAAGGTTAAATAATTTTAGAACGATTGATTCATCCGTAATATGCAACTCTTGTATGAGTCTAAACGTTGTAGGGTTGGGTCTTGTAGTAGAAAGATTATTTAAATTTTCTTGCATTTAATTGTATTCGTGTAGTAGTTAGCTGGCATTAATAGGGGTTTTTCAACAGTTGTACATATTTGTTTTTAAGGGAGAAGGTGAGGAAGGGGGTTAATGGAATAACACAAATTGAAGCTATTAAAAAAAAACCTTTCCTGGAAGTTTATTTGAAAGGAATATCCATATATACCATCATCTTTCTATCATGACTTTCTCTATAAACAAACAGTCAAACAAGATGAAGTGATTTCAAAGAGGTGATGTAAGTTTCATCTTCATACTAGACTATGCTTAAGGTAACTGATTACTGTCTAGAAATTAACATATACATATATAAAATCAAAAACGAAAATCAAATAAATTGTGAAGGGATCGAAGAATTACCAACATAGGGTGCTCTTGGTTAATGATGGAATTACAATGGTTGAAGGAAGGGACAATGGTGGCTGGTAGGATTCCGGTGACAAGTGAAGAGGTTCCGGTGGTGGTTATTTATGCAGTAATTCTCTCAAATCAAGGAGACTGTTTCAATGACAGAGATTTTAAACAAAGAAGATTAGGGTTTGTTTATCTTCAAAGAAAGGGAAAGAGGAGGATGTTAGATTCCCAGACGGAGGTTCCTGGTGGTGAAGTCGGAGAAAGGGTGGGCGACGATGAGCGGATAATGGTTCCGTTGAAGATGAGGCACATGTCCAATGGTTTTGGTGAAGTCAGACTTGAACGTTAAGGTTTTGTTGGTTGATAGAGATCATTCAATGATGGTGTAGCGGTGGGAGTTGCTGGTGTGGCAAATAAATTCATCGGAAGAAGAATGGATGAGTGGATAGAGCTTGAGGACGAGGAAATAGGGCAACACCAGGAGGAAAATGCGAGAGAGGGAACGCGAGTTTTTAAGAAAAAAATTATAGAACGATTACATGAGTTGTCGAGGTGTATACCAGAGATGTATCGTGATTAGGGTTTGCAGAGAGAAGCAAACATGGTATCGTGATTGGGGTTTGCAGAGAGAAGGGAAGAAGAGAATGAAGGGGGATTTGAAGCGGGGTATTGAAAATTTTTAGAAACGCGCGTTTTGAGTAAAAATATAAAGCGACACTCATAGAGGACGCACATTTTAGATAAAGTGCCCTCCATGACCTAAATCGGGTATTGAAATAGAGGACGCAATAATGCATGACCTAAATCCTTAAATTTTTTGAAGAGACGACACTTTTTTAATGTCCCTCTCTTTTGCGTAACATAAATCAATGAGTGTCGTGGTTTGCACGTCGTAAAAGGGTCTTTTTCTTGTAGTGGGTTGCCTTCATCAGGACAATTTGATAGGATGGATATTTGAGTAAGAGGTTATTTGTGATTTATTAATATATTATAAGTATAATATATTAATTGAGAAATCATATTATTTAATTAGTATTGATCAAGAATTGATTTGGAATTAATTTAGTGATCAAAAGAGACTAATTAAATTAACGGGGACTGATTATGTAAATCAGTGAGACATATGGATTGGGCTAATGATCCATGATTAATTTGTAATGGGCTAAGCTTATGTGAAAGTCCATAAATTATTAGTCCATATAAGTTATGGATCATAAGCCTAAGTGTAAGAATTAGGGTTACATATAACTCTTGGAATTCTACACTATATATGTGTAACCCCTTTACCCAAAATCGGTCCTAAGAGTGACAGTACACGAGTATGGATGATTTCTTGGTGCCTAACCTCTCCCTCAATATTCTCCAATTATTCATGATGTTTGTGATTTGTTTGAGGCACAACACTTGGGGTGCTAAGCTCTTGAAAGGCCAAATTCAACAAGCTACAACAAGAGGTAATCTTCTAACTTACTTTTGTGATTCATATGTCAAATTGTATGCTAGTTGTACGCTTTATGCTTTGTAAATTTTTGTTGCATGTATAACTAGAGAAAACTTAGATCCAAACATATTAAGGTTGTATGTGCACCATAGGAGTGTTATAGTACCTAAAACCCAACAATGGTATTAGAGCCATGGGTAGTTTTCTGTTATATAGATGCATAGCTAATTTTTCAAAGTTGGAAAACTCGAACAACTGCACTCTGACAGGAGGACTCGTCGAGTCCATGCTCATAAGTGATGAACTCATCGAGTCCATTATCCGACTCGACGAGTTGGATCATCTGTTGGCAGTTTTTCGGGTTTTTTGGCCTCAATTGGATTAGAATCATTACCACAAACTGTTTTGTATCATAAAATCTGTTTTTCTGATATGGTAGTGATTATTCTCATCCAATTAAAAGATAAATTGTCAAATTTTAAGATAATTACTAGTTTATATGATAAAGCTAATTATTTGTAATTTTTTGATTTGAAATTATCTTTCTACAAAAATTATATTTTGATCAAATTGGTAAAAGATAAAAATAGTTATTTTATAAGTTTATAATTTGATCTAAATGTTTTTAAGGAGTTACAAATTTTGTCATCAAATTTGGAACTCAAAAGTTTTTAAGGAGTTACAAATAGATATTAGTTAAATTGAAGTTAATGTTTTGAAGAATTCCATAAGTTATGGAACTTGAAAAGTCTCATCTTCATAAAACAAATTAACTCTTTAAGTTATGAAGTTCAAAAGTTTTTCAAGAATTACAAAACTTTCCCTCAAGTTTTAAAAGTTGAAAACTCTCAATTAAGAAACATTGAATTCATAGAAACCCTAGTAATTTGAAAAGTTTTCAAAAATGTAACTCATGAGTTCATAACTTAAAATTAATTAAATATTTTAAATTTAATTTAGCATCTTGATGTTTTTTAAATAGTTCAATTAACTCTTATGGACTTTATTAATAGTTGATTAAAAGTTTAATTAAAAGAGAAGATTAATAAATCCATAACAATAACATGGTTTAAGTTTAATTAAATTAAGAGTATAATTTATTAATTAAACCATCAACTATTTTAAAAGTTTAAAAGACACCCTTATACTATATAAAATTAAAAGTTTAATATATTATATATGTATAAGTTAAAGGTCAGTCTTACCGTTAGTAGGCCTCATTCACGAAGCCGGTCTATAAGGGGGGTATAAGGTTGCTGCCAACAAAATGGTGGTTTAGTGGGTGTCCATTCTCACCCACCGCTTCCTTCATTGGTGGAGGGTCGTTAGCCGAACGGGTAGGATAGGACACAAACTCCCACTAAAAGTATAATGAAAATACTAAGTAACTAAACACTTATAAATTCCCAATCTTAGTTACTTAGGAGAAATGTGAATTTGGTGGTAACCCATGAAATTGCACTTTGCAACTTGCTATGTCGTTAGTGGAGCGTGTGTGGTTAACCGAAACACTAATTTGGGACTAGCAAGGTTGGCAAATGGTAGCTTGATGTTAATCATGGATCAATGGAGCCTGTGTGGTAAACCGGCACATTGATTAGGTGATATGTAACATCGAGTGTACCAAGCTAATTTGCATGGTTATTCACACCTTGTTTGTGATCCTCGGGATCACAGTCACAAACTTGAAGGGCATAATAAATATTTAAACATGCCATTGAAAATTTCAATGAATCTCAAAGAATCTAGGAATTTCAATTCATTTAAAACCTAAAATTCATTTTCGTTTTTCATGGTGGAAATTGGTAAATTGTCGTTTACCTACCTTCAAATATTTTGCAATTGGATTACGACATCCCTCTTCCGAAATGTAGAATATTGTGTTGGGTCCTAGCCTTAATATTCCATTTTGGGTGTTATATTAAGGACTTAAATCAACTAAACTTGAATTTCTCCCTTGTAGATGTCTAGTTCTGACAACTATGGTCTTCCCGAATCTTATGGAAAAAGCTTTCCTCATGAAGATGATATTCCTAGAAATCATACTTCACTTCCTCCACCTCCTCCAATATTTCTTCCTAACCCACATGTTCGTCGACTTGAAAAGTTCAAGGTCCTTCAAACCCTATTGGCAAGCAAACATCAAGGTGGAAGGTCTGTATGTGCACATGTCTTAGAGATGAAGTCAAACATTGACAAGCTGGGAATGTTAGGTGTCGTTGTCTCGAGGAAGTTGACTGTTGACTTGGTTCTTCAATCACTTCCTAAGTCATATAGTGAGCTCGTTAAAGAGTACTATATGACAGACCACGACGTGGCCCTTATCGATCTTACCTCTTTGCTAATTGCTGCTGAATCAACAATGATTTGGTGCAATGGTAAAGCAAATTTGACTGGAAGATCCACTTCCCAAACTTCCATGGAAATGACAATGGAAACATTGGAAGTCCAGAAAAGATTTCTCTTCCCAAGGGAAAGGCTAAGTCTGAGATTGTCCCATGTACCATTCTGAAAGAGTCTGTGTGCTTCTATTGCCAAGAGAAGGGGCATTGGTTGCGAAGCTACCTTATCTAACTGAAGGATCATAAGGATGGTAAAGTCAGAGTTTATGACTCTATTTCAGGAAAGTCCACTATCTAACTCTATTAAGTTCCTATTTGGAGTTTCTTAATACATGATGTGATAAGATTACATTTTGATGTTTTGTAGGATCGAAGAAAAGAAATTAAGCTTAACGGAAGAGTAAGTAGAGTTTTATCGCGAAGAGATGGATTTCGATCGCATGGTTCGATGATCAGATTTGTGAGCTGCTACTTAGGAGTTATGATAGATTGCTTAGAAATATTTAATAACATAGTTTTCATTTGTAATTGCATTGTAAGGACAAGTTTTCCGCGTTTTATAAACAAAGAAAAATTTTAATTTTTGTCTTATTTTATATTTATCTTTGCAATCACATTTGTGAAAATTGATGTTTGTATATTTCTATTGTTAGCAATTGGATTTAATTCTTTCGTTTGTGGTAGTGTCAAAATTTACCAAATAAGGAAAGATTCTCATCACCCAAGGTTCAATTGGATAGAAACTTGGAGTCATGAGATTTGCATTGTATGATGAATGAGAACCTTCATCTTTGGGAAATTAGGACTAATTCCTTATTCACATGTATATGTGAGTCACGTGAAAGACTAGGGGATTTAGTACACATAGTTGTGCACTGGTCAGGTCCACCACAAAGAACAATAAGACTATTCGTCATGATTTACTAAAACTTTAGTAAATACGGTTATGCTTACAAGATTAAGTGTAATTCTGAATCATTGAAAAAGTTTCAATGTATAGCAGACCGAATAAGAAGAATCAAAGTAGGCAGAAAGTTAAAATTTTATCCAATCTGAAAGGAAAGGAGAGTACTTTAGTATCGTGTTTTATGATGATCTTAGTGATTATAAAACCATATCACAATTGATCGTCTAAGTACACCTTGGTGCATTTGTATGGTTAAGAAGAGGAATCGTGAATTGTTGAAATGGTTAAAACAAAAGGTGAATCATACTTCATTCCAAAATCGAGTCTTAGAGTCATTCTCCAATATTGTAACTTGAGTGACATAATCTTAAGAAGGTTTATAACAAACTCATCAAATGTGAAATAGAAACGATGTTTTCTTACTCTTGTACATTTGGAATTGGTAAGTTGTGATGTTTTGGATAAAGCAAAGACCAACTAAGACCAATTGGGTGAAGTGTTTGTCTTGATAAGAAACTGCTCTAACTCTTGAATATTTGTTTGTCAAGGAATGTTTCCTAACAAGAGAATCTTATATGTCAAGAGGATAGTGGGAGTCTTAAAGATATTGAAAAGTTTCAAGAACTAATCAAGAATAAAACCTAATGTTTATCACTAAC